AGAGATTGGAAATTTCCACTTCAAAGGATGAGCAGACTAGCCTGGAATGGCTAGAAGAATAGAAGATACTTCTTGAAAGAAAGACCTACAGGAAAAATACAAAAAATAGAGGTAGACGGACTATTACTACAATAACAAACAAGTTGCTTGCCCAGGAAACATCAAGGCAAGTGGTCAGGTCCCCTCAGTGCAAACCCCCTTCCAAGACTAAGACTCAATGGGAATACACACTCTGATTGGTGACCACGCTCATCACCAATAAGGGGAAGTGAGGGAAAAACAACAATGAAGTGGCGAGCTAAGCCCTACAATGTGGAGAGTGAAGCATTCTTCTGATAAAAAGAGCGGTCATATGCACAAGAACACCCACATTTGCAGATAATACCCACTTGACCTGGCTTCAATGACTGGATATCAGCGCTCAACCAGAAGAAGAAAGAAGAGGAAAAAAGAGTAACCTGATGCAATTTGATGAACTTGACCTACACCTATGGAAGCAGTAGCTCAAAAGAGGGAACAAATTCTTACAGCAAGAATCATTCCCACCCCTTCCATACACAGAGTAGACAGGGATGGGCAACTTGGACATTGGCTACCCAAAATGGGGAGGGGGGTTACAAAGGCAAGAAGTGACTGGCTTACAAGCTTTCAGGAGGAAACCTAGAGCCAGGGGCCTTCAGGAAGGCAGAATCTCCAGTGAGTAGTATCCAATTTGCCTAGGCAGAACTGATGAAATGAAATGCAGATGGGTCTCTTGTGATACAATAGTGAATAATAGTTATCAGGACTGATTGTGAAGGTTGGAAATGTATAGGTAGACATTTTATAGCAAGGAAGGAAGGGAATAACTTTTCAGTCTAGGAGCGGAGGTCCCTAGAACCATCAACGGAGAAGAGCCGAGAGCGGGAACTTACCCAGAGAAGCAGTGATGCCTGAGATGGAGGCAGAGACAATGACATGAAGCGATGGAGCAGCTGGGGACTTTAGATCCAGAGTGGGAGAGCGACTGTGTGCTGAAGACTGGGGGGGTGGGGTGGTAGTGGTGGTGGAGGGCAGTTGTGTAGGGTGCAGGGTTGCAGGGTATACCCTTTGGTTGGTTGATGATGCATGGAGGGGAATGTAACCATGGCAATGATACGATGAATGATAGAATGAATGTAAAACTAATGTTCTCCCATGTAAACTATCATATAATTCACAATAAAACATTAAAAAAAATAAATCAACACTACAACTTGGGCACCATGATCACCCCATTTTCTGGAGGAGGTCCTGTGGTTTTGCCCAATGTCATAGGTGTCTGTATGAGTAGGAGCCAGCATCCTCCCCAGGGAGCTCAGCCCCAGAGCCCACAGTCATAACCATGGCACCACATAGTCAGCACTTTAGAATCACGGACTCTGGCTTTAACAACCTGGTAAGGGTTCCTCAAAAAGTTAAACAAAGAATTACCATATGACCAATAGTTCACTCCTAGGTCCTGGTGTAGTGCTGTAGGATAAGCACTGGCCTGCTAACTGCAAGGTGGGTGGTTCATAGCCACCATTGCTCCTCTACAGGGTTGATATGAGTCATAGCCAACTCAAAGACACTTAAAAACAACAATAAGATAAAGACCCAAGGGAACTGAAAAAATGTTCACATAAAAATTGCATGGATGTTCACAGCAGCATTATTCATAATAAGCAAAAAGTACAAACAACCCAAATGGCTATCAACTGATGAATGAGCAAACAAAATGTGGTATTATCCACATAATGAAATACTAGTTAGCAATAAAAAGTATGAAATCCTGGCACAAGCTATAACATGAATGAAACTTGAAAACATGCTATGTAAAAGAAGCCAGGCATACAAAGCCACATGTTATGTGATTCGATTTGTATGAACATTTGAGAACAGGCAAAACCATACAGTCAGAAAGTAGATTACTAGGTGACCAGGTTTCCCTTTGGAAGTGATAGAAATGTTCTGTTGCAAAATATTGTGAATGCACTAAAAGTCACTGAAGTGTATACCATAAAATCATTAAAACACTGAATTTTAGGGTAGGTGAATCTTCCTCCATAAAAAAAAAAAAAATCCCCAATTTTGATGTAACTATTATGTCTCTGGTAAATTTTATTCACAAGATTCCTGAGGGCCACTGACCTTGCTTCTCCGGATTGCGGACCTGGGATGGCATGTCTTGGATTTCTATGGTCCATTCCCCCTCGGCCTTTTCTCCCCAGCAGTGGACAGTCATGAATTCCCAGTTTGTAAAGCCTTCATTGGAATGATCCAGCAGTCTGAAATTAGAGACACAGTGAAAAAAGTTAAGACCTGAAATGGGAGGTGGGGTGGGAGCAGCCTGGGACAGCACACACCTTCATCCAAATTCCCCCCAGGTAATTTAGAATGAGGTCCACAGCAAGGGTGGTATGGGAGAAAGCTGGGAAGAAGGCACCTGGGCCTCCGCTGATGTGGGGGAGAAGGTGGAGGTGAAACACCCATCGTTTCAAACACTTGCTTTCTCCCACAGACCACACCACAGACTGCTAGAGCAGCTTCACCTCCACTATCTCTCTGAGTCTCCTGAATATTCTGAGAAGAAGGCAGTTCTAAATATAATATGTTGTTGTTGTTAAGCTGGTTCTGACTCATAGGGACCCTGTGAAGGGTTTCTAAGCCTTTCAATCTTCGAGGGAGCAGAAGGCCTCATCCTTCTTCTGTGGAGTGGCTGGCAGGCTCAAACTGTGGACCTTGTGGTTCACAGTCCAGTGCTTATCGTCTGGAGCCACTACACTCCCAATATAACATAGGGGTTCGGTAACTGGGGGAGTCTCTCCCCTCCTTTCCAATTGTATAGATGATAGGTTGAGTGGCTTGCCTTACAATTTGGGGACTATTTTAACTCCTTGTCTTATGTTCTTTCATCACCAGCAGGTGTCTATGAGGTTCCCAATGAGTGTTCTCTCCCTGCACCACTGCTACAGGGGTGTTTGATCCTCACCTACCCCAGGAATGACCTATGGGGGCAGCTGCAAGACCTTTCCACTTAAACCCAATGCGTGTTACAAAGGAACCCTTTAAACTGCTTTGCTTGTGGAACGAAGAAAACGTTCACATGCAACACTGTCCCCAAGATACAAACATGGAAAAATGAATGACGACTCAAACTTGTATGAAGCTTTGTCCCCTATCCATTAGTGGTTAAAGGTTTCCGCAGCTGGGTCTGTGGGCTAGCTAACAGCCCATGTGGTTGTCTTTCAATGCCTGCTGGAGGCTCCCTGGCTTTGGGGAGGGACTCCAGGTGCAGTGCTTTGAGGGAAGAAGAGAAGGAGGCTCCCTCGTTCTTCAACCAAGCCACGCTTGCAGGTTCTGAGGACACTCCCTTTGTCTTTGCAGACTGGACAGTCTTTCTTGACCCTCCCCACAAGTCCCTGGGGCTTCACTTATGTTTGGTTAGCAGGAGAAATGGGAGAGGCACTCTCTGTCTACTAGCATACAGCCACTCTCAGTCTTCTCTCTTTGGAAGAAACAATTGCAGGGTCTTCTCTCGTACTCATTTTTTCATAGTCTAATTTTACAACTCTATTTTGGAGTCCTGGTGTGGCGCTGGGTTAATGTGCTGGACTGCAAAGTCAGTTTGATCTGCAAGTTGGCAGTTCAAAATCACCAGCCGCTGCTCGTTAACCTTATACAGGGTCGCTATGGGTTGGAACTGACTTAATGGCACTTAACAACAACAAAAAATTTTGGAATGCAAATTTGTAAATGGAGGAAGGAACTTTTAATTGTTCATCAGAAATTCAAATATATAAGCTTTATGTCATTAAAAAAAAAAAACAAAAAAAAAAAACCAGTTTCTAACTTGGGGGTTCATTGAACATCTGATGTTTAGAAATGTCTAAAAGGAAGAGTCTCTCTATGGATAGCAGGGGAGGGAGACCCTTGTACTCTTTTTTAAGAAACTGTAAAGGTCAAGGCTGGTTTTCACACATGACACCAAACTGAATCCCACATGCTGGGGAAAGAACAAGGACAAACTGCTGAGATAACTATGGAGTGAGTGTGAGGGGGTTTGTAGTGAAAAAATATGGCTGTCTGTAAAAGCTGCAGAATTGAGTGAAATGTGAAATAAAAGTAGATCCTAAAAGATAAACCCATGATATTATCACAAAATCAGTCTTGGAAATAACAAATTCCCAAGGCTCAGGTGACTGTCCGTGTGGTAGCATAGGTAGACCACCACCTAGCACATGGGTAGTTCCAATTGCAAAAGGCATGTCCTGCTCTCCACCCTCACACACTGGGCTGGGATAGAAAGACGGGATCAGAAAGGAAGAAAGCCAAAAAGAACTGGGGAAGGGAGGAAAGAGGGAATACTGGGGTGGGCTGCTGTGACTGCAAGAAGTTCTTGCTGACCAGGTGGACAGTGTAAGCAGGGCAGGAAGGCATGCCATCTGCCTATTGTCTTCATCATCACTTGCAGTTCTTATAAGAGTTCTGATTTTTATCGCTAAGTAACAGGAAGCTGCATGGTGGTGTGGAGGGCTCATGCCCTCTGTGCAGGCCACTCCTGACAGTGGGCCAGAGGCAGGGAGAGGGGACGTGGGCCCAGGGGTGCTTTTGCTTTTCAAGAAAGCTGAAGCCACACTGATTTGCCTGCATAATCTTTCTTTGTCTCCCTGCGCCTCTTAGCTAGTCGAAGAGTTAGGGCTCCAGTTCTCCTCCACATTCCCTACTAACCCTGCCCTGCTTCAAGCTCATATTATTTTTATTGTATGCTTGAAGGAGGGCAGGGTACTAATTACTTCATTCTAATTGCTGACAAATCATACAAATGCATCGCAACATATCCTCATGTTTCTAAGTTTTTGAAGCAGTGACCTTGTGGCCTTCCACAAAACTTGGTGGGAAGGAAGTTGCAGAATTCTGGGTGTGTTTCTGAGTGTTTTGGCTAAACATGGGGATGGTTCAAGCATTTGGGCCAGAGTGACCTTTTCTACCTCTCACCCCAGACAGACAGATGTCCTCCACAAGACCAGGTCTCTGACTCTTTTCTGGTTCTACAGTGCCATCAATACCTGGGCAGCAGAAGTGTCAAGAGATGAAGCAGATAAAATAGTGCTCATAGCAGAACATTTCACATGACTAAAAATGATCTAAATACACCATCTGAAGGCAATTACATCATACCCAGAATTCCATAAATCTCTCCATTTAACAAATGAATCCACGTTTTGAAGGCAACATTTGTTGTTGTTAAGTGTTAAATTCTGACTCACAGCGACCCTCTACAGGGTTCCATGGAGTGCCTCATGAGTTTGAACTGCTGACCTTATAGTTCAAACTGATTTGCAGTCCTGTGCTTTATCCCACAGTGCCACACCAGGATTCCTATCTTCCAGTGTTTGGAGTCCACGAAGCTGCTGGCAAAATAAGTGAAACCCCCAGGTTGGTGAGAGCCCAACTCTGCCCTCCAGGCCCAGCCTGCTTTACCTTTTTGCCAAAAGTTGGGACTTGGTTCCTGCAGGGGAGATGAGGTGGATCTGAAGGTCTCCTCGGCGAGGGTGTGACAGGGAGATCTGAGCCACTACATGTTCCAGGTACACCACACGCTGGTCTGAGTGATCCGCACAGGCGCTGGTCCGTGTGGTGGTCCGTAGCAGCTGCACCACTGGGATGCTCCTGAGGAGAGGAGGACAGCTCATACTCTCGTGCCTGTAGCAGGTAGCCACCACCCTCCGTTCCCAGGTGTGCCTTTGGATTCTGCGGCAGCCTCCCCTTATTTCTCACTCAGCGTAGCTCCAATTTGAGTTCCATCATGCCTAGAAGTCGCTGGTGAGTTGACCCTGACTCACGACCACCTCTGCAGAGTGGAACTGCTCCCCAGGGGTTTCACGCTATAACCTTTTGGAATCAGATCACCAGAGTGGTATTCTGAGACCCTCTGGGTGGGTTTACAGTCCAGTGCTGAGCTGTCTGAACAATCCAAGGACTCCTAGAAGCTACTTATCATTGTGTGGCTTGTTGATAGAGATCTAATGAATAGGCCCAACAGGTGTGGGCTGAGGTGTGTATCATTCTAGTGCCTAGGGTATTTCCTTAACTGCACAAGGTTGGCAAAGTCTTAAAATCCCATAACGCTGCTTGAAGCACTGACCTTGAAAAGATGAGTCACAATGCTAAGTATAACAGCAGCAAACATTTTCTGAGCTACTATAAGCAGGGCACTGGTTTGATGCTCAGAGAGGTTAAGTATCATGTCCAAAGTCACACAGCTATGAAAGGCAGAGGGAGACTGGAAGATATCATCAGCCTTGACACCACACAGCCTCTCAGGTAATACTCAAAAACCTGGCTGCTCTCAAGTCAGTCCTGAATCGTGGCACCCTGTGTGCAGGCTAAAACTGTACTATAGAGAGGGCTGTCAATCCTTTCCAAGGTGCATCTGGGTAAATTTGAAGTTACTAACTTTTGGTTTGCAGCAGAGTGTGTGAACCATTTGTGCCATCCAGGGATTCCCAAGATCATTGTATGTCGTCATCGTCGTTAAGTGCTGTTAAGTGGTTTCTGACTTACAGTGGTCCTGTATAGGGTTTTGGAAGCTTTTTTGTTTTTTTTAAATCTCCGTGGGAATAGAAAATCTCATCTTTTTCCTGTGAAGCGGCTGGAGGGCTCCAACTGCAGACCTTATGATTTGCAGTCCAGTGCTTATCGTATGGAGTCTTTATGGTTGTGGTGGTTATGTGCCGTGGAGTTGGTTCCGACTCATAGTGACCCTGCACAGGGTTTCCGAGGGTGTAAATGTTTACGGGAGTAGAAAGCCTCATCTTTCTCCCATGGAACAGCTGGTAGTTTCAAACTGCAGCCTGATTCATAACCACTACGCTACCAGAGCTTAGGAGCTCTGGTAGCGTAGTGGTTACGAATCGGGCTGCGAACCTTAAGGTCAGCGGTTCGAAACTACCAGCCGCTCCACGGGAGAAAGATGAGGCTTTCTACTCCCGTAAGGATTTACACCCTCGGAAACCCTGTACAGGGTTGCTATGGGTCGGAACCGACTCAACGGCACTTAACAACAACAACAACACTACCAGAGCTCCTTAGACCTACATTTCCATTCAAGATGCTGGGAGGGATGTCCTGGACAAGGAGCATGGGGTCAGAGTGAGCCCTCTTGTGTTGAACACACTGGCTCAAGGCAAATAACTGGGCCAGTGTCACCGGATAGTCAGTGAGCACTGGCCTGCTTCAGATTCTCCTGGGTAAGACCCACGTTACCTCTTCCGCTCATGCCATGCGCTGGAGACAGAGGACCCTTCTCTTTATGCATTCAGTGCAGTTTCCCACATAGAGTGGAATCTGAGGACCTGTATGTAACCCCAGTCACCACTGCCATTTCCATTAGAGTCTTCTAACAGGCTCCCCAGACAAAACAGACACAAGATCTGTACTAAACGCTACTGCTGCATGGGACATGGCTCACATCTAAGGAGGCACTGGCTCTTGGCATACTGTTGGGCAAGGTGAGAAACACAGCATTCTGGGTGGAGAAAGCCACTGCCCACTAGCACACGGTCAGGGTTGGGTTTATTGTGGAGAGCATGTACTCAGTATTTCTTAGGAGTCATAAAAAACAATCAAAGCACTTCTACAAAGTCATGTGGTTCCTGCAGAGACTTTGTAAATCTTTGAAAACATGATTTGCATGTACTTTAAATGGATTTCGAGAAGCTGCCTTTGCTCAGTGCCCCCTTCTGAGGTCCACTGTCTTTGTTTATCGTCAGCAGCCTGCTGCTGGCCAGATGAGGAACAGGACAGAAAAAGCTCTAGAGAGTCTGACTGCTACAGGGACCACCCTTATTTTCAGGTCAGATGTCTCCAGCCCCTCGCACAGAGGAGGAAAAGTGTGTGTGCTGGGAGTCAGGGATGGTCATTCAGGCTGGGGGATGTGATGGGAATAAACAGTTCAGGAAACTTCACTAATGCTTCTGTGAGGCTAGCAAATAGGGATCCCAGGAAATACTTCCCCGGATCCAGGTATCAACCTACACACTTCGCAATGACTGAATAGCAAGATCAAGCTAGAACATAAACAAAAGTCATAAGGAAGTTTAAATAACTACCCCTACCTCCACAGCCATTTGCTAATGGTGGATGGTGGGGGCGGAGGCAGTCCCTCTGCTCTCCGACTAGATTCTGAATCCTAGTGAGAAAGCCTGGTTTGCACATTACTTCATAATGGGCAGGACTGAAGAAACAGGAACACATTAAGGATAAAACATAGCAAAGTTCATCCCTCACCTGTCCATCTTCCTGTGTCTAGCCCACAGGATCAGCACCTAAGGAAAACCACTGGTGAGTGGTGAGTATTGTTGTTGCTGTTGTGAAGTGCCGTTGAGTCGGTTCCAACTCATAGCAATCCTGTATACAGTTTCCAAGGAGCAGCTGGTAAGCTTAAACTGCCGACCTTGCAGTACAAACGGCTTTGCAGTCTGGTGCATTTACCCACAGCGCCACACCAGGCTAGTCCTGCTAAAGGGACTCCTGAGTGGTGCAAGTAGTTCATGTGTTAGCCTCACTAAGTGGTTTGAGTCTTTCAGAGGTGTCTCTGGAGAAAGGCCTGGTGATTTACTTTTGAAAAATCAGCCACTGAGAAGCCACTGGAGTACAGTTCTACTCTGATACACACATGAGGTTGCCATGAGTCAAAATCAACTTGAAGGCCACTGTTTGTTGTTGTTTTCTGGTTTAAGGGGATTTTAAGTACCCTCACCCCCAAGGCTCAGAGAGTCTGGATTAAGTCTCCCAGAAAGACTGGCTGGGGGTGGGGGATGGGGGAACACACAGTTTAACTAAACTTCCATATCAGTGATTCTCTGAGGAGTTCAGAGCTTGGCTGGGTTTTCAAAGCCATGGTACTACCCTTGCCATGTTTCTCACATTTACCTGAAGATTCAGAGCCAGAAGCACATCCAGGAACATGTCTAATTGTAACAGCTCTTTTTTTTTTTTTTTTTTTGTAGAAATTATTTTAATCATTGTTTAAAAAACACAAATCATCATTTTTCGACATAATCTACTAGCTTTTCAATATACTTTGTCCATCTGTCAACATGAATTGTAACAATTCATTTTTATGTGAAATATCAAACTGTGGAATTTTACAGTTAGAGGCAACCTGGTCTCCCATGTCTGGAAGCTGGAGGGGAGAGTAGGAAGTCATTGGTTGCTACCACACATTTCACTCCTGGTGTCTCTATTGAAACAGGTAACTGAACATTTTGAATCAGGGGAATTTTACATTTTGAAGTGTTTCCCCAGAGCTGAGATGAAATTTTCCTGCATTTCAGATAGAAATTTGTAATGCCAAATAAAAAAAAATTGTGTAATGCCAGAACATTTTTTAAGGAAAGGGAACTCATCAATGAAAAAAATGGAAGTTTTTCTTCACTCTCGAGTTACTTCAAAGATATTGCAGAACATGAAAGTCTGAAAAACAATGTTTTTTTGGGGGGCGGGGGGTGGTGCGGTAAATCATGTGCAGGGATTTTTTTTTATACAGAAGTATAGTTAAGCTGTATTTTAATCATAAAATTTATTTAGAAATATCTTAAAGCTACCAACATAAAAAATTTTTTGCTATTAAATTCTAAATTGTTGTCTTTGGACAAAGAACTGTCTTCTTAGAGGCGTTAACTCAAGAAGTTAAAGGATTCCAACAAGACCTGCCTCCAGATGGAGCAATGCCTAAGCTACAGAGCTAGTGTGCCCTACTTTCAGAGGATCTGATGACACAGAGGACCATTCTTGTTGACCTGCATTTCAGACTTAATTACCCTGATACTCAAGATGTTCCCACTTCACCCCCAGCTCTTTGTCAACAGCTCCTTTCTACTGAGGAAGCAGAAGCTTCCCAACCAGCAGCTTATTAACAAATCCCTAATATCTCCATACTACAAATACACTGGCCTTCTATTTTTTATCCAATTTATGAATATCATTTAATGTCATGTAAAGAAGCTTTAGAAACAAATTCCCAATTTGCTACATTCAATTCACTCACCAAATTGTAATAATTAGAATCATATCATTCAGAGCCTGAGATAAATATTCTCAAGTAAACCAAGTAGCTGGGAAGAGTTTGGGGGACTGATCAAAGGCTGAAACCTTCCATGTCTGGTGGCCTCCGACTCTCCATTTGTCTTTCTGTGATAGGTGGGCAGCTACTCCAAGTATTCCTCACTCCTGCCTTTCTCCAGCTCGGCCCTCAAGGACAGACCTTCGCCCTTTTACAAAGCATTTCCAGGGCCCTGCTGTCCTATAAACAGCCCTGGTAGCACAGTGGGCTAAGCACTGGGCTGCTAACCTCAAGGTTAAAGATTTATAGTCTCAGGCATCCTAAAGTGTCATTGAGAATCAGAACCGACTTGAGGGCAGTGGGTTTGGCTTTGAGGTGTCCTGTCAAGCTGCAGGCCTGGCACCAAGAGTCCCGTGGGTCACAGGGCCTCATTAGACAATGCTAAGGTCAGGCTGAGTGGGTTAAGGAGACACACTAGATTCAGAAAGCAGCTGTGTTCTTCCTCCTGCTATATTCCATATTTGTCTGGGAGAGATAAGGCTGATGAAGACCTGAGGACGATTACAATGGAAGCTCAATATGAACATCAACCAGGAAGATCAAC